AACTTACATTAACTACTTCCTCTCATGACTACCTTTCTGTTTTAAAGCTTCAAAGGTCTTTATCCTCTGGTTCAGTAACCAGCTTTTGTCTTCCAATTACCTTTTCTACTTCTGAGTTAATTTCCTAATTTTTCTCATTAAGCCAATGGGCTGTCTCCTTTTCACAAAGTTGCTGCGTTTCACATATTTCACAAAGGAACACGCAGCAACTCAGGACCCAGAGCCAGTTTCACTACTTGTGTTACTCTTCTACCATTCAAGAGCATGAACGGTGATACTCAGGCTACCAGTAATGAAACACTGTAGGTAGCAGTAAGAAGACAGAAGAACCCTGCTCTGACAGATGTGACTGTTATGATGGAGCCAGCTAACACAGGTTTCGCTGTAGTCGTCATAGCTGTGCATGTAAATCTTTAAAGACTAGGAAACTACAGGGAGGAAATTAAAACTTTTTTTCAGCTAAAATTTGATCTTGACAAGCAGATAATTTACACAATATTTAAAAATAGTTTTACCATTTTTTTAAAGTTTACTATTACTAATTGTAAACTGTCTGTGGGACGATTTGGGGCTCTGAAGCAATTGCTAAGCTGTTGCTTCAACAGCCCTTGGGAAGAATTTGTAAAATTTGTACATTGTTGTTGCTGGCCACCCAGGGATGTCCTGATGATTCCTAGCAGGCTTTCATGTCAACATACATTTATTTACTGAAGCTCATTCTATCACATCTTCACTAATATTGTTATCCAAGCTAATTAGATTAAAGTTAGCCTGGTAGGGCTCAGCATGCTGCACTTGCACCTCTTAGCTGCAATGTAGGCAACACCTACAGACTGAAAATCAGGCTATGCAGATGCGCTCAAATGATGTGCAGTAATTTGTAGAGGGAGGAATCACACTCACTGAATATTAGAGGGAACCTCTACGTTCTTGCTGCAGCAGCCTGAGACCAGTAAGTACAATATTGTTTATTACATGCACTGACATAAACACAACCCCCCCAACAAAGCAGCAGACACTGCTTGAGGTGATGTCCCTCTGTTGACATCATGGCTTACTGTTTTCCCGCTTCCTTTCAGCAAGAACTCCTCTTGTAAGGCAAACCCTACCACAAAATACTGGGAGCTACAGAGCCAATCAGATAGAAACAGGATAATGTCAGCAAGAATGACTGCAATAGCCTGCAGGCAGCATCCATTCTGCTAACTTAACATACAGTATATTCTTCTAAGTTTATTTCCATAAATATTACTTAGTAAGTCAGCAAGTAAAAGGAGAGTTCTACCCAGTGATGAATTTCTTGCTTGAGTGTCTGGATATTCTGAAGCCTAA